GTATAAAGGGCCACAAAAATTCTCAATTATAATGTAGGTTGGTCATGGGGATGGGAGTGCAGCATGGAGAATATAGTCAACGATTCTGTAACACCTTCCTATGTTGACAGATAATAGCTGTACTAGTTGGGGGCAGGACTTAATAATATGGGTAACTGTTGAACCAATGTGTTGTATACTTGAAACCAATATAAGATCTTATATCAACTATACTTCAATTTTAAAAAAGATGCTCAAAGTCACTAATCATCAGGAAAATGTGAATCAGAACCACGGTGTGATAGTGCCTCACACTTGTCAGGATGGCTATTATCAAAAAAACAGTGTGCCGAACCTGTGGAGAAACTGGAACCCTTGCACAGGAGAAGGCAAAATGGTGTAACTGCTATGGAAAACAGTATGGGGGTTCCTCAAAAATTTAAAACAGAATTACCGTATGGTCCAGAAGAGATAATAGCAACCCATGTTCACTGCAGCACTATTCACAGTAACCAAGATGTGGAAACAACCTAAAGGTCTATCAACAGATACATGGATAAAGAAAATGTGGTATATACACACAGTGGAATATTATTCATCCTTAAAAAATAAGGAAATTCTGCAATATGCTACAACATCGATGGGTCTTGAGGACATCATGCTAAGTGAAATGAAAGACAAATACTGCATAGTTTTACTTATATGAAGTACCTAAAATAGCAAAAAGACTCAAAAAGTGGAACGATGGTTGTCAGGGGCTGGGAGAAGGGGAATGTGGAGTTACTAATCGAAGACATAATGTTTCAGTTAAATAAATGAGTTATAGAAATTTGCTGTACAATACTGTTGTACCAATAGTCAACAATAATATATTGTACACTTACAAATTTGTTAAGAGGGTAGATCTTATATTAAGTGTTGTTGCCACAATAAAATAAAATTCAAATAAACAAACAAAAATACAAAGTGGTTACAGCATTTTTCATTCCAACCAGAAATGTATAAAAGGGTTCCAGTTATTTTACATTCTCATCAACACTTAGTATTTGTCTTTTTGATAACAGGCATTCTAGTAACTTTGCAGTGGTATTTCATTGTGGATTTTTATTTGCATTTCCTCATGCTGTGTCTTTTTGTGTGATTGTTTCCTATTTATGTATCTTCTTTGGTGAAATGTCTACTTAAATATTTTGCTTATTTCTTAAATTTGTCTTCTTATTGTTGAGTTGTAGGAGTTCTTTATATGTTCTGGATACAAGTCCATTGTGGTATAGATGGTTTGCAAATATTTTCTCATACACACAAGACAAACACACACACACACACATATATATAATTGTACAGCAGATTTCTAGAACTTATTCATCTTGTTTAACTGAAATATGCCTTTGATTAGTGTATATGTAGAGATTAGTATATATAATATATAATATATAATATTAAAAGTATATATAATATATATAATATAATAATATAATAAATATATATATTTATATATAAACATAAGTACATATATATGTGCATATAATTAGTACCAAATTATTCTACAAAGAAGAGGCATCAATCTACATTCCCACCAACAGTGGATGGGAATGCTGGTTTCTCAGCATTCTTGTAAACATGGGATTCCCATCTTTGTTAATCAAAGAGATGATATCACACTGTTTTTAATTTGCCTTTTATAATTAGGAGGAACATCTCATCATATGTTTACTGACCAGTGCTTTTCCTCTTCTAAGAGTTACATGTTCTTGTTGAAACCTTGTATTTTTTTATTTTGCATCCCTTAAGCTCTAGTCATTATTAAGCATCCAAGGAATATTTGTTTAATGAATGAAGAGTAATGCTGTGAAGAATAAACTCATATTCTACAGTACTAAACTCATAATTAGTGATCAATAATATCAGTTGAACTTAAGTCTGGAGTCAGGGAGTGAGTGCTATAATGCTCTTTCTCCCTTCCAGGATCTGGGATGGCTGTGAACTTCAAGATTCCAAGACCCTGGTGTCCCATGGTCCTCACTCTGTTCTAGGGTAAATCACTTAACTTTTCTGACTTTACAACAGTCCAAACAGTGTCTACAAACTCCATCACTGAAAAGGGTTATTAGGCAAAAAACATAAGATTAATTTACAATAAGCATATATTCATGCATTACTCGAATAATTAAAGCATTTATAAGAATGGAGGAAATAAACCCACAGAGATAAGGACAGGCCTAAAAAAAGAACCTGGCTGCCTTTTTGATGCCCCTAAATTTCCTTTTAAAATATGTGACTTCATCCTTGGCCCAGTCTCTTTTCCATCTTTTCCCCGGCTATCTATTGCACTCTACTGTTCAAGTGGTCTCATTTCGTTGCAGTTTAACTCTGCCAAGATGATTAAGGGAAAAAAGTATTATTTGTGGCCTGTCCCTGACCTTACTTAGCTGTCTACATCACCCTCACCAAGCCTTGCTCTATTCTTGGCCCTGTGACCAGCACAAGGGACATAGAGCTCACAGTCTGGTGGGGGACACAGACTTGCATGCCATTACAAGCATGACAAGAAACATTTCTGGAACACAAATGACTTTGAGCCAATCGAATACAACAGCTTTTAGTCCAGTTGACAGCCATATAAGAGATATGCATTTCTAAAAGAGGAATCAGGCTCATAAATGTGATTGGTTCAAAGTCACAATTTAATTAACATGGGATATAAATTCTAAAGTCTGTCTGCCCTCTACAGCCAGTCCTTTCCTAGCCTACCAGAATAAACCAAGTGATGTGAAAACTGAAGTTGGGGCAGCTAAATCTATTCTGTGGTTGTTGAAACTTGGAAGACTTTATTGAGGAAGAAGAACTCTGATTTGGGCAGAGAAGGGTAGTCCAGGCATCAAAAACAGCAGTAAACAGAGACAGAAACCTGGGATCTATTCAGAGAACAGATGGTTGGGTAGGATGTGGGGGAAGAGAGGCAGGATATTAGGCTAGAATCAGATTGTACAGGGCCTGGAACTCCAGGCTAAAGAAGAAGGGCTCAAATCAAAGGTTAGGGCTTACCTCTCTGGGACATGTATACTGAGGGGTCTCCCAAAGTTATCATGGGTATGAGAAACCACAGGTAAATGTGGCATATCACTTGGACTGTCAGTTTTACTCAAAGGCTTGGGGAAAAAGCAATCTTGTGTTTTCCTTTAAAAGATGTATAATAGAATTGAATATAAAATCATAAGAATTTTTAAAATAAGACTGGGATTTCAAAATATTTCCCAGTTGCACTAAGCTGCTCCCCAATAAGGGGACTGGAAGCAGTCCATTCTCTGATACCATTAGGTATAGCTTAATAATGGAGTCATTTGAGAAGCATTGCTATAGGTGATGGGAAACTTCACCAGAGGTTTTAGACTAGGGCTGGCTGGGAAACAAAGATGAATAGGAACTGTTGTTTTTGAAGAACTTTATGGTAAGACAGGGACCAGGGGTTTGGACAGAGTAGAGTGAGGGCCTCCTTTAACAAAGCAAGATAATCCATTGTGAGATTTGCTTTGGCCTCCTGGGTAGCCCAGCTTGTTTTTCTGACTTTACCCAGGTGCTGCTTTTCTTCCTCCAGCCCTAAACAAATGATTTGCAACCTGGGCACTGTAGCAAGCAGGCCCAAAACAACATAGTGAAAAGAGGAAGTATTCCATCTTGAAAATAAGATTGCATCTTAAATCCCAATTAGTTAAAAAGTAAGTTTCAAACAGACAATAACTCAGCTCACCTTGGGAGCAATACAGGCAGCCTTGAGTGATATGCTCCCAGACCAGGAAGCTATCCTGGGAGGAAATTAGAGCAGTAAAATTCTTGTAAATAACCAAGAAGACTGATTAGAAACTTAACATCTCTTCAAAGATGAACATTTTCGACCACTTAGCAGGTATGCATCCCTAGCCCTTTGTCTCTCAACTGCCTATAAAACCCCTAGACGACGCACCACCCTTGACTCTCTTGTCCCCTCCTGTCCTGAGCCAGGAGCTCTATTGTCTTGCTTTCTCTCTAAATAAAAGCCTTTTCCTTGCTCTCCTACCTTGAGTGTTTGTGAAGTTCATTCTTCGACTCCACCAACAAGAACCCCCAGCATCAGTGGGACTGATAATTCTGAGCACCTTGTGATAATTCTGAGCAAAACCCTGTGAATTTCATCTCCTCGTCCCGTGGTTCGTACACATTTCTCTTGTACCTCATTCAGTTTTTTATTCAAAAAATATTTATTGCACAGCTCACTTCCTGTGTGCCCTTGGACAAGTTAACCTCTGTACCTATTTTCTCATTTGCAGAATGGGGGTAAGAACACCTATCCCATAGTGTCTTAATGACTGTCATAGTCAGAATTAAATGAGAATTTGTATAAAGTTCTTAGAATTTGGAAGGAACAAAGTTCAGTACTATTTAAACACAAGCTACTATGACAGTACTATTACTACAACTTCCACAGCTGCTGTGTTCTAATCATCATCTCCCACAGCCATTCATGCTGGGGAAACGGGGTGGGTCTGGGAGGAATATAGAGATGAACCAGTCTTCTCATTGCACTTGTACAAACATGAATATTGATTTGTCCCGCTACACTTGAGTAACACACAGTAAGTGCTCAAATGCTTGCTGAATGAATTAAACAGATGTCTTCCTCCTAAACTGCAAGTCCTTTGAGGGCAGGGTCCAACGTCCTAGCTGTTGTATTTACTAGAACCAAGCACTTGGGAAGGCACACGGTAGACGTTTAAAGATTACCGATTTAAGGAATAAATGGATAGATGAAGGGATAAATGAATGCAGGGAGAAAATCATTAAGGCCACGAAGCTGGCACAGATAAAGTGCGGCAGAAAGAGCGCAGCCAGTCTAGGAATGGGCTGAGCAGAAGAGCTTTAACGTTGACGACGTGAAGACGAAGGGAACGCCCTTGTGCCCCGTGCGCCGCCCTCCAGGACGCCTGGGAGAGCTCGGAGCTTAGCGGCACGCCCCGCCCAGGCGCCTCACAGGCCCCGCCCCTCTGGCTCACGTGACCGCGGGGCGGGCATGCGGCGTGGCCCGGGCGGGAGCAGCAGGTAACCTCCGCCGGCGAGCTCTGGCCATGGCGGGCGTGGTGGACTTCCAGGACGAAGAGCAGGTGAAGTCTTTTCTGGAGAACATGGAGGTGGAGTGCAACTACCAGTGCTACCGCGAGAAGGACCCGGACGGTGAGCGCCGCCGGGCGGCCTTGGGGACACGTGGGGACACGTGGGGGAGGGGCGGGGGCCGGACGGGCCGTGTGGGCTATCACTCAGGGGGTCTGGAAGGGGTCACGGGCCGGGGTCGACCTGTGCGTGTTGGCGGGGGGCGAGTTGGGTTCCGTGGGGCTTGAGGGCCTCGCAGCCCGGAAATTCTCCGTCTGGAGGTAGCCTGGACGCCAGGGAGAAGGAAAAGAAGTACTTGGGCATTTGGGGTAGAGGGACTGGGGGTACGTCAGTGCAGAGAGAAAATTCCCAGGCCTCCTGGGGCTTTTTACATTCTAGTGGGGAGGACTGGACAATAAACGTAAGGAAGTAAATGAAGTATGTGGTAGAAATAAGTGCAATGAGAAAAACTGAGGGGTTTAAGGAGTTAAGGAGGGCAACTTTAAATTAATTGTTCGGGGGAATCACTAAGAAAGGGGCATTGAACAAAGCCTTGAAGACTGTCAAGGAGATCTATGCCAGGCAGAGGTAACAGCTAGTGAAAAGGCCCTGAAGCATGAAGTTGACTTGAGTGTGTGGGTTGGTGATGTCCAGAAGGGGCCACCAGGAACAGCCCGTACCTTCAGGTGGTTTTCTGCTTTCTACTTTATTTTATAAAGGAAAGGGAAAAAAAGGCACTAGACCTACAATCTAGTTGCTTGCAGTCTAGTTTGCAGAACATACAGCCATTTCTCCATGCTAACCAACTACACAGAGTCACTCTACAGTGTAGATGGCTTGAAAAGAACCCAGGGTGTTTCTCTGAGGGCTGGTCCATGCCCTAAGTGTACAGAGAATTCGCAGGAGTTGGAGTCTTTGAGGAGCATGATGGTGGGGGAGGACTCCTGGGGATTCAGGAGCAACGGGCAAGAGTTGATTAAATGGAGGTGAGATGGTAGGAGAAGAGCATGTTGCCTCTTGGAAGTCAGGTTGTAGTCAGAAATAAGAGTAAAGAGAGATCTTGGGTCATAGTGTGTCAGGCCTTGAATGTCAGGGTCAGGCCTTTAGACTTTATTCTGCAGGCAGTGGAGAGCCATACATGTTTTGAGGAGGAAGTTCATGGTAGTGTACTCTGGACAATATACCTGAGGAATGGAGTAGGGGAGGGTTGGATATATAAGGACTGGTTAAAGCACTTTAGAAGGAGAGCCTGAGAGGAGGCTTTAGTTACTGTAGCAGCTGGTGTGGTAGTTTCCTTCAATGTCATAATCTCTCCCTAGATTTCTGAAATAGTCTTCTAACCTATACACCCTCATACCCTTAAAAATCTATTCTCTACTTGCAAACTGATACTTTGTTATATTGAATATTTATTAGATTCTTAAATAACAAAAACATACAGTAGAGTGACTTTTTAAAAATGCAAATTGAATCATCACTGCCCTTCTTAAAACCCTCCAGTGGTTTGCCATTGACTTGAAATAAAATCCTAATTCCTTCTGATGTTTACCAAAGCCCTGTGATTTGGTCCCTGCCTTCCTCTTTGTTTCCTGTCCTTTTTCTCCTCAGTCCTGTTATGTTGTACCTTATTTATGCCAAGGTTATTCCTTCTTTTGAATCTTTCTTTTTTTCTCTATTTTTAATCTTTTTTTAGTTGTAGTTGATATACAATATTATATTGGTTTCAAGTCTACAATATAGTGAGTGATTCAACAGTTATTAAGTCCTTACCCCAACTAGTGTAGTTACTGTCTGTCAATATCGGGAGATATTACAGAACTATTGACTATATTCTCTGTGCTATACTTTGATCCCTGTGACTAATTTATGTTATCACTGAGATTCTGTTGTCTCTTTATCCCCTTCACCTATTTCATGCACCCACCCCAACCCCTCCCCCATGGAAACCACCAGTCATTTCTCAGTGTCTGAGTCTACTGATGTTTTGTTTATTTTGTTTTATTTTATTTTTAGATTCCATATATAAGTGAAATCATAAAGTATTTGTCTTTCTCTGCCTGGCTTATTTCACTTAGCATAATACCATCTAGGTCCATCCATGTGGCAAAATTTCTATTTCTTTAATGGCTGAATAATACTCCATTGTGTATATATATCACATCTTCTTTATCCATTCATCTATTGATGGACACTTTGCTTGCTTCCATATCTTGGTTATTGTAAAGTGGCAATAAACATAGGGGGTGCGTGTATCTTTTCGAATCAGATGTTTTATTTTCTTCAGGTATACTCCTAAAAGTGGAGTTACTGGCTTGTATGGTATTTCTACTTCTAGTTTTTTGAGGAACCTGCATACTGCTCTCAGTAGTGGCTGCACCAATTTACATTCCCACCAAGTATAGGAGGGTTCCCTTTTCTCCACGTCCTCACCAATGTTTGTCGTTTCTTGTCTTGTTGATAGTAGCCATTCTGACTGGTGTGAGATGATACCTCATTGTGGTTTGGATTTGCATTTCCCTGATGATTAGTGGTGTGGGGCGTTCTGTTGGGTCTTCTAATTTAATGTCTCTTATGCCTGGAACTTTCTGTGCCTTTCTCATTTCATTGTCTTTAAATAGCTGGTTCACTCTTTTGTTATTCACATCTCAGACATCTCACAAACCTTATTGAGGTCCTCCCTGATTGTCCAATCTATGTTAACCATTTCATCAAAATGCACAGCTGACTATCTCATCCTGTTTTATTTCAATCACAGTGTTATTACTGTTTGAATACATCTTGTTCACCTATTTACTTATTTCTTGTTTTTCCTCCTGTAGAATGTAATTGTTAGGACATCAAATGACTGTATTCCTAGCTCCTAGAATAGGGTTTGGTACATGGGTGCACATAGATGCTCAAGTATTTGTTGAATGACAGTGACAGTGAATGAGAAATGAGTGTCCTTGGGGCTTTAAAAGAACGGACAGAGGGGAGAGATGTTAAAGGAGAGGCTGGCTGGGACTAAAGATTGCCAAGAAGAGCTGCCATTGGTAGCTACCATTTCTACTCTGTCTGCAGGCTTCATGCCCCCAACTTGCCTGAGGAGGAAGGTATAGTTATCAAAGCACACCTTCCTTATTGCTACAGCCATGGGCTCTTTCGATTCTCAGTGTGTTTTGGCTGATCTTCCTGCGAAGTTCAAAAAGCTAGCAGAGTTTCAATCTGGAAGTCAGTGGGTCTTTGGACCTGGGTGACAGGGAGCTGAAGGCCTCCACATCATTCAAGTCATCCTAGTGGATGCTGAAACTGAGCTTGCAATGTGCCTTCCATATCCTGTCCAGAAGGGCTGGTAGTGGCTGGGGCAGTGCAGGGACCATGTCTCCCCAGTCCTTACATTGCTTAGTCCCTGGCTAAGGGCAGACAATGCCATTTGAAGGAATGGCTAAACACCACCCACATTCTTTGTGGTAAGGTCATCTTGCCATACCTCAGGAGGACAGAGGCTGGTCCTAAATGAAAGACGCATTCTGGCCTGCCATACCTAGGCCCTCCCCACTGCCGAGCAGCAGCCCCACCTAAACAGGTCTTGCCTTCTCCTCACAGGTTGCTATCGGCTGGTGGACTATTTGGAAGGGGTCCAGAAGAATTTTGAGGAAGCTGCCAAGGTATTGAAGTTTAACTGTGAGGAGAACAAACACAGCAATAGCTGCTACAAGCTGGGGGCCTATTATGTGACAGGAAAAGGTAAGGAGGGGCCTGCGTTCTTTGGTCCTTGCTGTTGATAGTGCTGACATCACATTCTGAGCCTCATGCTGTCCCTTTTCCCAGAAGAGTTCTCACAGGCATTGGAGGATTTGGAGATGAGTTCAGCAGAGTGATGAAGGGAAGAGGCCTTTCAAGTTAGGCAGACCTTAGTCAATGGTGTTTGCAAGTAGCAGGACTTTGAGCCCATCACTTTTACTCTGCCTCAGTTATATTGCCTGCAAAGTGGAGAAAAAATGGCATTTGCTTCATAGGGTTGTTTTGAGGATTAAACAGGCTGTTAGTAAAGGCATCAGCATATCCCTGGCACAGAGAGGGACCCATAATCAGTTTCCTACCATCTCTTCTTTCTCCTTATGCCCTAATTGCAGTTACCACTGGAGTTGTAGGTGGTTTTAAGTTATCTATTGCTAAATAAGAAATTTTTCCAATAAGCTTATTATTTCACATAGTTTCTTTGGGTCAGGAATTTGGGAGCAGCTTAGCATGTGCCTCAGGGTCACTCATGAGGTTGTAGTCAAGACAACAGCCAGGGAGTTAGAAAGGCTTCTGTTCATTGCCAGCTGTTACCCGGAGACCCCAGTTTCTTGTGACATGAATCTTTCCTTGGGCTGCTTGCATGTCATCATGACATGGTGTCTGGCTTCCTCTAGAGCAAGTGATTCAAAAGAGAGCAAGGTGGAATCCACAATGTCTTTAATGACCTATCCTTGGAAGTCACATGTTTCTAATTTCTATTGCATTCTATTTATTAGAATTAAGTCTAGCCTATGTTAATCGGAGAGAACTTAAATTCTCTTGAAGGAAGGAATATCAAAGAATTTGCTCTCTACGTGAGCTCCTTGAAGACCTCATACAGCTGACTACTTACTGGACAATTCTGTTTGTAGTTCACATAGGCATCTCCAGCTTAACAAATCCAAAATGGAATTCTTAATTGTTTTCTTCTCTCCCCAGTTTATCACACCCCTGTTGTCTTCCACTTTAGTGAGTGGCATCTCTCTCCACCTAGTAGCTCCTGCCCAGTTTATCTTCAAAATATGTCTGAGATCTGTCTTTTCTCTCCCTCTCTTGCTGTCATTCTTATCTAAGCCACCTTCCTCTCCTGCTTGGATTACAGTTAGGAGATTAATGCAAGTCTCCAATCTTTTTTCCATAAGGCAAATCAAAATGAACTTTTAAGAATATAAACTGTGGACACTGTCTTTGGGCTGAGCTGTGGTAGACTTTTGGAGAGCAGACAACCTGCAGCCTGTGTGCCCTGAACTCCCTTGTGTGGAAGCCTGAGCCAGTTTTGTAGCTGTCTCTTACATGCGGGTCATAACCATGTCCACTAAGGAGAGGCGACTCAGCTGCCCACCTAAGACAGTACAGAACTAAGGTGGAGCTGAATAGAAGTTAATGTGGAACTGAGGATAGATCAGAAGGATGACCAGATGCTGAAAAGGAGAAATTAAAGCTCATTTCCTGATGATGCTTCTTCTCTCCTACCGGGAGACCACAGACACCACAGCACTGTAAATTGGTCTGTTTATGACACTGTCAAAGGCATAAATAGCAACAATTCAGAAAACTAGTTCCAGGCTACTCAAGCTGCTAGGAAACTGCTTTCTAGGGAAACCAGTGCCCCATGGATAACATAATCTGGGGCTGGTTTGATTCCAGAATTTGTATCCTTGGGTAGAACTGATAGTAGTCCCATTCAGTTTGAATCTGCTTATGCTCCTCACTGTCATTGTTCCTGGAACATCAGAACACATCAAGGCTGTGGTAGATGGAGGTGCTATCCCAGTATCCATTTCTCACCCATGCTCATGAGCATCAGTGAATAAACTAGCTGTATGAGCTCTAGGAAACATTACAGGTTATGGTTCAGTTTTCTGAGACTTGGTTATTATGGTATAGTTGACCTGCTGTTGACTTTTCTTGCAGTTCCTGATGTATTACCTGTACCATGTGGTTACTTACTTAATCTTACCTGGACACTTTCAAATCTTTGTCACAATAAGCAACGCACACTCCCATTAGATAGTGTTGGGCAGATTCTTCCTACTTTAGTTCATCTCCTGCATTATGATGATCCAGAAGTATTAGCAGATACTTGCTGGGCCATTTCCTACCTTACTGATGGTCCAAATGAATGGATTGAAATAGTTGTGTAAACAGGAGGGGTGCCCCAATTTGTGAAGTTTCTAGGAGCTACTGAATTGCTGATTGTGATTCCTGTGCTCAGAGCTATACGAAATACTGTCACTGGGACAGATGAACAGACTCAGGTTAAAGTAACAGGGGAGCACTTGCTGTCTTTCCCAGCCTGCTAAAGAACTCCAAAACTAATATTCAAAGGGAAGTATGTGAATAATGTCAAACATCACAGCTGGCCACCAGGAACACATGCAGCATTAGTCCCATTCCTCGTTGACATTCCCTCTAAGGCAGACTTTAACATGCAACGGGAAGCTGTAAGGGCTGTGACCAACTACATGAATGGTAGAACAGTTGAACAAATTGAACAAATCTTGTTCATTGTGGTATAATAGAACCACTGATGAACCTCTTAACTGAAAAATATCAAAATTATTTTGGTTATTCTGGTTGCCATTTCAAATATCTTTCAGCCTGCTGAGAAACTAGGTGAAACTGAGAAACTGTATAATAATTGAAGAATCTGGAGGTTTGGCCAAAATTGAAGCTCTACAAAACCATGAAAATGAGTCTGTATACAAAGATTCACTAAATTTGATTGAGAAATACTTCTCTGTAGAGGAAGAGGAAAATCAAAATGTGCCAAAAACTACTTCTGAAGGCTGTACATTCTAAGTTCAGGCTGTCACTCCTGGGACCTTTAACTTTTAGATTGTACAGCTAAGGCATAAAGTCATGTTGTGTAATATGCTTTCTATAAGATGGCCTTACTGTTTCTCTATTTCAGAACTCGTTTTAAATGTGGTTTGTTATAATAGCAATTTTTATAGAAAAACTATAATCAAACAGTCCCAAACTGTACAGTCCATATGATGCTTCTCCTCTCAATGGGTTTCTTATTTCTTTGTACAATTTCTTATCTTGCAGTGTCCTGTAAATGAAGATTGAATTCCACCCTTTTCTTTATAGGTTTTTAAAAAGAATATAAACCCTGGATTAGATAAAATATATGAAGCAACTGTTTTCAGACATTAGACAATAAGCAGCACAGTACTATGATATCATTTAACAAAGGCTTCATTAACCACTGTGTCTCCCTAAGTTGAAATAATTGACAAAAAGCGAAAGGCGGGGGAGGAGAGATGAGAGGAAGTGTGAGATGCTAATATCCTCATTTTTTTGTAGTTATGAGTCAGTATTGTCTATAGTTAAATAAAAACAATGACTCTAAACTTTCAATATTTTAAATCTCTTTGTAAGTCTGGTGCCCATTTAGGAAATTTCTCTGGTGAAGAAATATTCATTTGAAGTTCAGTTTCTTCAGCTTCACTCTGTTTTCTTTTCTGATAAATTCAAGTAAAATCAAAGTTAAGTTTTTGGTTTACAAATAGCATAGGAATCCAATTTTTCAAAGTACTTCTGTCTAGCTGTCTATTCAGCTAGCAAGCATTTAATCAGAGCACATGCTACAAAGATGCCTGGCATGGTGTTCTCTTAATGATAATGATGGTTATTTCTAGTGGGTGGATTTGAAGTAATTTATTTAAAAAATGTTAAGAGGTAGCAAGAATATATATATTTTTTGACAATGAATGATGGTGTATGGGGATTTGAATTCTTTCATGAAAAAAAGCAAAAACAAAAAACTAAGAAAAATTAGCCCTGTCACCATCTCTGCTTAAAATGACCTGTTAGCAATTTCCTATTGCTCCTGGGACTAAGTACAAGATCCTTAAGACCCCCAGACCATGGGTGGGTCAGACCCACCCAACCCCGGCTTGTCTCCCCAGTCTGCCTTCCCTGGTGATTCCCGGGTTCTGGCCGCATGGGCTCCTTTTCTCTTTATATCCTATTCCTGCTGCCTAGGACAGCCCTCACCCCATATTTTCTTTTACTTTTTTCCTTTATATCGCAGCTCATATGTCACCAGTGGGGAAGTTTTTCTTGACCTCACCCCCTAGTTTAGGTCAGAGCCCTCATACATTCTCATAGCATTCAGTGCCTTTCCTCCATATGCTTATCACACTTAGAATGATACATTTATTTGTGTGGTTGCTTGATACCTCTCAAGGTCCTCAAGGGCAGGGGCAGCGTCTGTTTCCCAGAACCTAGCATAGCAATTGGCAAACAGTATACATTCAGTATACCGTATATTTAATAATGAACATTTAACGAAGTGCTTATGAGATTCCATGTTCTTGGTATAACCCAAAGAGGTAGTTATTCCCACTTTTATTAGCATTCCCGCTATTGCCTCCTTTACCTATTTGGGCTGCCTTGTAAGGTATCATTTGAACAAAAGTTGCCATGCCTAAAAATCTGGAATGTCTGTGCACCATTCCCAGCCACCTTCCTTTCATGCTGCTTTAGCTTAAAGTAGATGAACTGTATTTAGGAATTGTTCCCAAACTTTGATCTGAGACATTCAGGTTCTGAAACCTGGCTTGGGTTTACTTTTTTCTTCCCTTTCCTTCCTCCCAGGTGGATTGACCCAAGACCTAAAAGCCGCCTCCAGCTGCTTTCTGATGGCGTGTGAGAAGCCCGGAAAGAAGTCTGTGGAGGCATGTCACAACGTTGGTCTCCTGGCACATGATGGACAGGCCAACAAGGATGGCCAGCCTGATCTGGAGAAAGCCAGAGACTACTACACAAGGGCCTGTGATGGCAACTATGCCCCTAGCTGCTTCAACCTCAGTGCCATGTTTCTGCAGGGTGCTCCTGGCTTTCCAAAGGACATGGGCCTGGCATGTAAATACTCCATGAGAGCCTGTGACCTGGGCCATGTCTGGGCCTGTGCCAATGCCAGCCGCATGTATAAGCTGGGGGATGGTGTAGATAAGGATGAAGCCAAGGCCGAGGTGCTAAAAAATCGGGCCCGGCAGCTACATAAAGAACAGCAAAAAAATGTCCAGCCTTTAACGTTTGGGTAGTGTGGCCCACCCTCCCATGTAACAAATACCTAGAGGCTGGCACCTCCTGTTTCTGATGGCAGCCCTTGGAGGTCAACCTGCTGGAGCAGGAAGACTAGGGACTTCATATCAGTAGCTCTGGTTACATAGACCCATTGCCCCAGAGTGTCACCTACTGGATAATAGCCTGAAATGTGTATTGCAGTCAGTATTCCTTTATCGCGTGTGTTCTGTGAAGACTTCCACATTTATGGGATTTTAGTTCTCAAACTTGTAGTTCTGTGGAAAAGAGCAACCCAGAGAACCATAGAGATTGTAGCAGGGTGGGGAGGAGAGACAAAGAGCAGGAAGTTGGAAAAATGAGCAGCCATAGGTCTGAAGGAGTCAGACATCGTCATCATTTTTATTTTAGTTGGGAGGGCTTGAAAATCTATCTTGATTTACATAATTGAGGGCCTAAGGAGCTAGGAATAAATAGTACAATTGCCACCCTCTGACTTAGTAATCACTACTGTGGGCTTCCTTTTTGCCTTTATAGTCAGATCTTTCAGTAAGTTCATAGAGCTTGGAGGGATGTGTGACATTAAAGTTAAAAGGTTGTTATGCTTCAGGGTTGCTTAAGGGAATGAAACATAAGCCTTCTTCTCGTGGAGACATTCACAGTTGAAAATTAGCACCCAAGAGTCTACTCACCTGGCACTGCTCATAATGTTGAGCAGATCATTCCCAGGGCAACTTAAGCTAGGGGTTTGTAAGCAAGGTCTTTATAACATATTTTGTCCCTCAGAACTGAACCTTTTTGATTGTTCCTGTGAATAAACTATTTTGATTGATGAGTAGTTTATATTACTGTTTCTTTCTAGATTTTGGATAGGGTAGGGATTACATTCTTCATGGTGGTTGTGTCTTTTAAGAGAAACATTTGTTTTTTCTATTATCTTCCTAACTTGTCACTAGGGGGCAAGCTTGTTGTTTTCCTGCTAATAATACGACTGTTACTGTCACCACCAGTTTTGAGCTTCAAGTTTTGCAGCTGTCCTAGAAGGAAGGCTTGCTGTGTGGATGAAGGTTTGTAAGCACAGTCCACCAGCTTCTAAGATTGATAGAGGACAGGGACTTCCCCAAGGTCAGGGGTGTTTTAAAAAGCAAGTTTATTTTTAAATGTAGTTATTTTGTATGTAAAGTAAACTGTGTCCCTGGGGAAGGGGCTGAGGTGAGTAGGTGAAATTGGTGAAGGGGATCAAGACACACAAAATCTCAAATATTGATTAGTCACAGGGATGAAAGTACAGAGAGAATATAGTCAATAATGCTATAATTAAGAAAAAGTAAACTCTATAGGCCAGCAGGTATATGAAAAGATCCTCAAAATCACTAATCATTAGGGAAATGCAAATCAAAACCATAGTGAAATAATTACTTCACACCTGTCAGAATGGCTATTATAAAAACTAAACAAGACAAGTGTTGGGAAAATTGGAGAAATTGGAATCTTTATACAGTGGTGCAGCTACTACAGAAAGCAATGTAACTGTGTCCTCAAAAAGTTAGAATAATATCTAGCAATTTCATATCTGGGTACATATTCAAAAACTGAAATAAGGTCTCCAGGAGATACCTGGACAACTGTGTTCAGAGCAGCATTTACAATAGCCACACAGTGGAGGCAATGCGAATGTCATCAGTGTGTGAATGGATAACCAAAGTGGGGCATATGCAGACAATGGGATATTATTCAGCCTTTAAGGGAAGGAGATTCTGACACATGCTGTAACACAGATGAACCCTGAAGATGGGCTAAGTGAAATAAGCCAGCCACAAAAAGACAAATACTGTATGAGCCCACTTACCAGATGAGGTATCTAAACTCAGAGTAGGATGATGATTGCCATGGGTTGGGGGAAGGAGGAAATAGGGAGTTGTTTGATAGTATAGAGTTTAAATTTTGCAAGAAGAAAAAGTGCTGGAGATTACCTCTACAAAAATGTGAATATATGTAACACTATTGGACTGTACATTTAAAAATGCTAAGATGGTAAATTTTATGTGTATTTTACCACATTTTAAAAGACATGTAGTTTTTTATAAATACAAGGCTTGAAGTTTGGTTATGAAAATAATATAATGCAGTTTGGAACAGCAGAAGAAACAATTACCCCTCACTACCACCCACCAGCATACACTGGTCTAGTAGTTGTGTTGTTTTAGTAATTTTTAAAAAAATCACAACTTTTCCATTAAGTAATGGGTTTTATAATTTTGAAGATTAGGTTAATTTCATTTTTGTTGGTAGATGTGCTGGGTTTTTTGTGGATTTTTTATGAACCACTTCCTGCCTGGGACTTGTGCCTGCCCTCTTTGGATTACATACTGAGATGGGTTGGGGAACAATGGAATGAGCATTAACAGTGTCAAAAAAGTACACTTCACAAAAGTTACTAAAATGCAAAGAGTAATAATTTACTGTCCAGAAAGGTACAAGGCCATTTCATACCCAGGTTACTATGGAAAGGAATGGGCTGGTAAGAGCCAGTTTCTCACTTTTGTGCAGCCTTTGAAGCAAGGTTTGAAAATGGGTTTTCAGACTCTGGTCACAGCAAGCAGTATCTACTGTGTCTTCTGGTCAGCAGGCATTTGAATCATAATTAGCAACTATTTTCACCTTTTTTTCCCTCCATGCCAGGCTTGCGCTGGATGGTTTAATAGGGAAGAAGTTTCATAATTTAAGGTTTGTGTTCTCACTAAAAGTTCACAGTGCAGTGCTCAGTGCTGTGAGAAGCAGAAGCAAGAGTCCCAGAGAGGGAAGGGAAGGTTGTGTGTGTGTGCCTAGAGATTTTGAGTTTTGTCTTGTCATTACAGAGTCACTGAAGGGTTTTGAGCAGGAGGATGAAATGATCACATTTGGAAGTTAGATCACTGTAGTGTGGAAAATAGATTGGAGAGTAATATGGGGGTGGGAGGAGGGTGGAGTCAAACACAGGGTTAAAAAGTCCCCAGATGTCTAGCCTGGGCATCTGGGTGGACAAGGGTAGCCATTCATACTGATTTGGAGCCTATGAGGTGAGGATGGGCACAAAAAACATTTTGGAACTGTTCGGTAAATTTGTTTTTAATTTAGAAATAAATCACATTTTAATTAGTTTTATGCAATTGCTTGAAAATTTTTGTCAGCATGGCAGAGGGAAAATGCCTAGATTTCAAATCCTACAGATGTGGGCAACTCTGGGTTAATCAAAGGCATATTAAGCGTGAGTGTTTAGAGTGCCTAACAAAGAATAAGAAAATATAAATTAATACAGTAATTTTGTATTTTTAAAAAGCATCAAGTAGTTACTTGGAAAATGAAAACTCTGTTGGTTTTTGACATTCATTTTGCACTTTAGATCTCTCATTTTGAATTCTACGTTAGGGTTAGGGGGTACCAGACTCTTCCCAGTTCTTAGGCCTAAAGGTATTAACCTGGGTTCTGATCTGGTTTTTGCCTTCTTTTGGCTCTGTGACCTTGGGAAGTTATCTGACCTGGGTCTCGATTTTGTCCCTCCTTCTACTAGGGTTGTTAGAAGGTTTAAATAGTAGCTCTTATCATAGAATGATAAATGTTTCTTTTAAAATATTTTTATGGGATATTTTATTGTTTTCTCTCCACATGGCAATGTTAGCTTGTGAGGGAGTCTAGCTTTTAAAACAGGCTGCCTTTGCTTCCATTCTTTTAATACCCAGAGAGATGATGAGGCTCTGTAGGGGTATTGAGGACATAAAACAGCTGCCGGAGGCAGTCCTAGTGAGGGGTGGGACCTGCCTCCTACCTCCTCCTTCCCTGCTGCCCAAAGGAGAGTCACTGAGAAGACTTGCACCTGCTGGGGGCCCAGAGTGGAAACTATTCCCAGCTGGTGCCCCTCCCCAGGCTGGATGAATAGTGATTGAATTACAGTTTATAAATCAGCCTCCCCACTGCCTAAAGGGGAAAGGCCAAAATTCGTTGCCCAGCATATACGTCTCCCCACTCCCAAGCAGTGCCTGCCTCCATATTTAGCTCCATCTTGGTCCTAACTCGGGCTTCTGCAACAAGGAACCGTTTGTAGTCTCAGCACCATCACTGGAAAAAACCAAAACACCCAGGCTATTTCTTACTGCCACACATTGTGATGCTAGTTCCTCTATCTCGAATGCCTTTCATCTTTTAAGACTCTGGAAGCATTCTCTTCATCCCCCAGGCTGGTTAAAGGCTTTCTCTGCCCACGAGTGCCCCGCGTTTCCGTCCATCACAGTGCCCATCGTCCTGTGTTATCACCTGTGTGCTGATGCTCCCCACGCTAGCTCATGAGTTTCTGGAGTGCAGGGCTCGGCCCACTTCATCTCCGTCCTCGGTGCCCAGAATGCGGCTGCGCCCGCATTGCTCCACCAGTGGCTGCTTGATGAGATGAGCGGCGCAGAGTGCCTCCTTAGCAGCCTCCTGACCGCCCCAAAGCCAGTCAGGCCCAGGCTCCTCTTCATATCCAAGAACTGGTGTTAGCCACAGGGCTATACTCTTTTTGAAACTGCTTATCAAGAAAAGTTCCTAAGTCAGAGCTGGCACATGATGGATCAGTACCTCTTCTTGGGCTCTGTTCAGGAAGGTGTCTTTTTTTTTAAAGAAAATAAGGTTTTTGAAATAACAAAGGAAAAGGACCCAACATAATGCCACCCTTGCACCTGAAGTACATGCTGAGTAACTTACTGCCAGTAAACCCTCATTAATATCCTCATGGCTAAAGAATCACAAGTCCAACTATGCACATTGTTTTCTTGGAATACTAAGAATATCTTGCTTGAAATACAAAAAATTAATGGTCTTTACTCATCATTATTATTACCTGTTTTCATGTTTATCTCCCTGATTAGTCTATGAGACACCAAAGATAGGAACCAAGAATTCTAGCCTCCAAAATCCTTCAAAGCTTTCTTGTCCCCCTACACCAGTGGTGACCCCTACTCCTCAATCTCTTGGAGCACCTTGTTTAAAATAGACATTCTTGGGCCCACTAGATGTACTAAATGAAAAACTGGGTTTTAAATAAGCAAACCTTGGGAGAGTCTTAGGCATACTAAAGTGGATGACCCACTCAAGTGGTATGCAGTCGTAGCTCCTTAGCTTGGCACCATGACCCCTCTGCAGACTGGACTCCACAGGTTCAGGTCTTTGCACAGCAGTGCCACCAAAACATCCTTGACACAAGCTTGGCCAACTCTTAAAAGTCCAGATGTCACCTCCTCCAGAAGGCCCTCCTGCACCCCCAAGGTCAGTGGTGCTCTGACAGTCCTTGTGCTTCTCACTCCCAGTTCTTTTCACATGGTTTGACACAGGCTGTAAATGCCTCAATGGCATGGATTATATCTGACTCATCTGTATTCCCGGTGCCTAGCTTAAGAGAGGTGCTTAAATCTTTATTGAAGGAAAGGGAAGGAAGGGACTCTGGGAACAAATCCTATCTTCTGGTGGATTCACTGAATATTGAAAATGTATGGAGAAGGATCTGGATTTAAATAATTTCTCTGCCACATATAAATGTGTTATATTACCTCTCTGAGCCTCATTTTCCACATGTCTAAAATGGAGATACTGTTTACTTTTTAGGGTTCTCTTGCCAATGGATTTCAGCCCCAAGCAAGTTCACTATGGATTCAATGTGACCAAAGAAATGACAGTAGAACGTTCTTGGGGTGAAAGGGTTATACCCAACTTTGTTTCCACGGTGACAGGTCAGTCACTAAAATCCCATCCACTCATAATAAGTCTGCATGCAGCAAGCCGGTCTCTTTCTCTGGGCCTCTCTGCCTGCACAGCCATCCTCTGGGC